GCTTCCGCGGCGTGTCCTGAAGGCACCTGTCGTCCCTGAGCGGACGGAAAAGGAAAAGAGAGGCTCCGAGGTGCTGTCCCCAGGCAGCGGGTCGACTCCTGTCGCCTTACGTACTCTGGGTAGTCGGCTCATCTCAGAAGTCAGTACTCCTCAAAGGCAGGGTAGTGTCTTTTTGCTCTGGGAAAAGGCTTTCCTTTTCTGTCGGATAAAGATGCGGGACTTTGGATTTTAAGGATTGGGATGGCCTAAGAAAACCTTTTTGATTACCTTTCCTCGTTATGGCTTTATTATTCCTTAATAGTATTCTCTGCCATTATGCATTTAGAGATCAGGACCATTCGTGACTTGGGGGTTAATTTTTTTCCATCTATGCCCCGTATGGATGCGAACAAGGAGAATGAAAACTCCCTACAGCTGAATGAGAGGGGTGTTTTGTTTTTTTTCCTGTGTAAAAGACAGAAAACTTATTACGAAGTTTTAAGTCTATTAGTCTGTAATAAGATAATCGGTATTTTTTCAGATGGAAATAGTACTGTAAAATTATGTATTCTATGCAATGCTAAGTTGAATAATACTTTAATCTTCTCCTGGAGTGAAGTCAACAAAAATTACAAACACTTCCATGTGCTTATTTTTATTGTATTAATTTTGGGGGTATTAAAATGTGTGGTTAAAATATTAAAGTAAAATAAGTAAAGCTAAATATGACAGTTTCTTTAATGTGTTTATTTTTCTGGAATCCTAGCAAGTGTGTGCCTCTTTAATGCATGTTTCTCTGTAGTTACAGTCCTTTCTTGCGAGTGTAAGTATGCTAGACAGAGCTGAAGCATTTTCACAGTGTAATAACATGTCTTTTCTATTTTTTTCTATTTTTTCAGAACTATCATGACGTCATGTCTTGCCACCCAGAAAACTTTCAGTGGGAGCACTGGAGTTTTGAAAATGTTGCTACCATACTTGCTCGCCGGTTCCCTGATAGCTTTGTTTGGGTTGTAAAGTGTTCTCGAATGCACCTGCACAAATTCAGTTGTTACGACAATTTTGTGGTGAGCAACATGTTTGGAGCACCAGAGCACAGCACTGACTTTGGAGCTTTCAAGCATCTCCATGCATTGCTAGTTAATGCATTCAGACTCTCTCAGAATATTCTGCTGTCCCAGAAAAGCGTGCATGGTGTCAGCAAGGATGCAAAAATAGCTGCTTGTAAATCACAGCCACAGTCTGTTCCAACAACAAATGGCTGCTCATCCACAGAGAGAGAGAGAGATTGTGAATGCTCTAATAATTCAGCTATGAACTTCATTATACCATCTGCTGTAGGTGCAGTGTCATTTACTTTGATTGGCTTCAGTAAAGGTTGTGTGGTTTTGAACCAGCTGCTTTATGAGCTGAAGGAAGCTAAAAAAGACAAGAATACAGATACCTTCTTAAAAAACATAAAAGCAATTTACTGGCTGGATGGTGGTCACTCGGGAGGAAGCAATACTTGGGTCACTTACCCTGAAGTGCTGAAAGAACTTGCTCAGACAGGGATTGAAGTTCACGCTCATGTTACACCATACCAAGTGTTTGACACAATGAGGTCATGGATTGGGAGAGAGCATGAGAAATTTGTACAGATACTTGAAGAATTTGGTGTGGAAATAAATGATCAATTACATTTTGCTGATGACGTTGCCTCCTTAGAAAACCATTTCAGAGTTCATGAAGTATTTTGAGACTGTATGTATCTGAATAGTGTATTCATTGTAAAAGCACTTTTAACACTGTAAATGCTGTCATCTAGATTTACAACTTTGAGTAGGCGCTTTCTGAAGAGAATACTAAATCACTCCTGTGTTGCTGATAGATACTATATATATGTTTCAGTAGCTTAAAAAGGAAAACTGGGACCCCATACCTACAACAGATATTGTCATTTGATTTCTGGAAAAAAGTGTTGTGAAGAACTATCCTATACATGTTTTTTTTGTTAAATGTGAACGTTTATTCTCAAACTGCTGGCAAAATTTTTTAGTCCTGGACGTCTAATTTCATATACTACCTATACTGGGAGTTTAAAGTACTCAAGACTTTCAAATGTCTGGATACTTCAAGTTAGTAGCTTCCAGGGCTAAAAGCTTTCATCTTTGTCAATTACAGACGTAATGTTAGGTTTTTGGCTTAAGGAAAATTCTGATTGTTAGAACAATATTAGTTATATATTTTGGTGAAAACTGTTTTACTTAGTTAATCAAATCTTCCAGTTTTATAACATTTCTCCTAATTGAAACAAAGTCACAAATATTTACTTTTGGAATAATAGTGCCAATCCATTTTTCTTCCTGATGTGCGCCTTGCCTTTTCTGTCACTCTAAAGTTTCGTTAATTCATTGTGTAGTATCTGCTAGTGAAGAGACATTTCACCTGGGGGCTTGAAAATCTTGATATAGCTATGTTAAGTGACCAAGAATGCTGATGAGGGTGTAGTTTATTGCTGTTTCAACGTACCTTGCTCTTGCTTTGACTAACTTCAATAAGGACCAGCAGCAATATCTGTATTTTCAAGTCAAGACATGTCTTTATCCCTGCCTCAGACTGGTGAGGTTTTTCTTGCTGATTGCTGCATTGATGTTGATCTAAATTGAGCTGTAAGTAGATAACATAGTACAAGTTGCATTAAAATGTTTAGATTGTTGACTGTAGCTGTGTCAAAATGCTTCAGTTTTTAGAACTATTATCTTCTTCAGATGTATCGCAGTAGTTGCTTCGAGAGCCAACCAAAAATCTATTTTCAGAGCATGGGTTTTTTTTATACAGAAAAAAACCAACTCTAAATACAAAGCCAGGAAAATCAGATACAAAAGATGTGATCTAGTTCAGGCCCCAAACCTGAATATTCTTCAGAAAGCATTACTGAAAGATGGACAAGTGAGGATATAAGTGGAACTTTTCTACTGCTGTAAGTAACTTTTTCCATTTATCTTCAAATAAATCTTAGAATCACTCTTAAAGACAACTGCAGCTATTAACAATGAACCAGTAGCTTAAAATGGGTTTGGATTTCCTGGAAGTATAGTAATACAAAAGCAAGTTAGCAAAACACTGTGAAGATTGCACAAACAAATGTGGCTCAGTTCTGGAAAAAGGCATCTTATTCAACTTTGTTCATATGTTTGGTGGCTTAGCAACATCTTTCCCCTGCTTCTTGCTTCCTGTGACTGTGAAAGGAAAGCCCTGGGTCATGGCATCATTAAAACTTACATGGTTCACTGGAGACAGTATTTTCACAACTCTTGCAGAGGTTGTGCACCTGTTAGCGGTCACTGAAGAATAAGAAAAGTGTGTTGAACTATTAAGAAAATTTTCTTAAAATATTAAGAGTAGTAGAATTATGCATACAATGTGCACCTTACAATATGAACGTGAACTCTGTCACCAATAATTACTAGACTAATGTACCTAGTTGATCAAAAGGGGAAATTATCTATTTTAATTGGTGGAGAGAAGTGCAAAATGCAAACTAATTCTAACATTTTATAAAAGAATCTGAAATCTAGTTCAATCTGCTCTTTGTTGAAAACTCTTCCTTGGAGACTTTGTTCAACCCTATTTATTGATTACATTCTTAATGGGCGTATAATGACTTGTATTTATGTATTCCAAGGAAGGCTATTTCCATTTTTTGGTCCTTTTGATAACACTTGTAGCATACGGGAGGACTTTTTTCTGTAAAGGAAATATGAGTCACCTAGCAAAGTGGTTTTAATAGAAGGCCTACAAATTGCTTGAAATATTTTTGATTATCCACTTATAAAATAAAAATTTTAAAAATAAATAACAAAAAAACAGACCACCCCACTGATCTTGTTCCCTCTCATTTCAGTTTCAGACTGACCAGGCAAACCTGAGTACCCTAAAATGTGCCCTTTCCAATAACAGTGCTGATCACAGACCAATTTCTAAACAATTCTGTGCCAGCCAAAATGGCAGGAGTAGGTTGTTGCAAGCTTTTGGAAACAGCTATTAAAATATTGACATTGTCTTCAGAAGTTTCTGGATGGCTGTCCTATGAAAATAATATTAACCTGTTTGATGGAGGCTGCTTACAATAACTTGAATAAAATAGGCTCAACTGTTGCTGTATTAATTTGAAGAATAAGCACTTTGTTGTAAAGCTAATCTTGTTGTGAGACCTCATGTTGCGGAGGGAAAACTGGCTAGTTGTTTTTCATCCTCTAAACAGTGTAGTACTCTGTTAGAATGTGCCTCTGTCATTCACTACAATGCATGCTAAAAATAAATTTTGCAAACAATGTAGAAAATAAACTATTTCTAATGGATGAACCACTTTGATGTTAATGTAAAACCATTAAACAAGGAATGTGCAGTTAAGTTTTGTGGATTAAGCTTTATCAGGTGTTTGTGGAGACCTAGTTTAAAAAATCAGATTTATTTGATAACTTTTCTTGAAGGCAGGCTTTGTATTTGTGTAGCCAGCGTCCGTGATTCTAAAACAGCTTGCTGGCATCTCACATACACGGGAAAGCTGGCATGAAGTACCCAAGGATGTGAACATTTCTGATAGGATGAAAGGGCTCATGGTTTGTATATGCCTGTTTTTTGACCTTAACTGTAAAGACAGTTTTTAGTAATTTTAGATGTAAATACCTGAAGTTAAGTGATTCTCATGCTTTCTTACCATGGCTTAGTTCAAGCCATTTCTGGTTTTGAATGGAGTGAGCAACATTACAGAGTCCTTAGTACAACCTAGAATGTAATAGCTGGTATTCTCTATATCATTACCTGCTCGTTTCTTGTACAATAGACAAGACATTCTTCAGATTTTGAGAAATGCTAAAATGTTTTAAGCTGTGCCTGTTAAATTCCTTTAGAACAGAGCTTGATTCTGTGAAATTGTCCAGATTCTGTATGACTTAAATGATTTTATTTTGTGCGCATCTTAAATAGTAGAAACTTTGGTAACCTTTTTCCTATCTAGGACTAACTTAATTGCATCTTGCAAATGCTACTGCATAAATCAGTGTTGGCTCCTAATTTTGAAGTGATTAAGGGTCCAAGTCTTAATATGTTGCTGAAAGGAGCAGTCTTTTCTGTCCTCCCATCAATAACATCCTGCTGCCTCCCTTATGGTAGCACAAGCACTTTATGGTGAGCCGTTCTATCTTACTAAACAAACATTATTGCTGATAGAGATAACTAACAGGAGTGCTGTGTATTTAATTAATCATATAAATTATTTTAAATAAGACTGCAAAGTCAGTTCAGGAGTAAGGATGTTACAGCTGTGGATATTCACAGATAAAAGTGATTGTGTATGATCATGCACTCAGGTTTTCCAAACAGTTTCTTTTTGACCTATTTGCAGAAAGAAAATGTCACCTGTTTTTTCCGCCCTCTTGTGCTTTTTACAATGCTGGCTTTCCTAAGCTAACAATTATTCACTATTCCTGCAGATAAACAGTATTCATTGTCTGAAAGTTGAAGCACTGAAGTACACTCATCCATTTACTTTGAATGCTTATTTTAAATTACATGGGGTCTTATTAGTTAATATCAGAGAGAAGTTAAAACACAGTAAAAATTTTGGAATGTATGTTCTTTGTTGTGAGCTACATTTTTAGGTACGTCACTGCCTAGCAGAATCCAGAAACATGAATTGTGTGTCTGGTGTTCCTGTGCAATACAAAAGCAAAGGCAGATGTTTCAGACTGAGATCCACAAGAGACAGCCTCTTCAAATCACCTCCACAGTCACTTCACAATCTTTTTAATCTTATATTGAAATCTCATTTCATTTTTTTAAGGATGGTAGAATAAAGAAAAAAAATAGTTTACTTCTGGTTCCCATAACCTGATGAAAATTTAGACACGTTTAAATATTGCTGATGGAGACCATAAGACCAAGGCTGGCTTTGTGTTGGTCTTGCTGATCTCTTAACTCTGTTAAGATGCAAGGTGACTGTTTTTAACTCGAATGAAATAACATGAAGTCATTAAGCAAGTAGTCCAAGATCGCAGAACACCTCTGTGGTGGAGACAGGCACTGCATCTCCCTGTGCCAGACACTGTTCCTGACTAAATTCATTCTATCAATATTCACAGCATAATTCTCTCCTCCTGCTGACAAAACACACTTGCACAGGATGCACTGTGGATATCATGGAAAACTGATTCAGGCAGTCATTTTGCATATAGTGTAGTGTGGGTTATAAAGTAGTGATGGCTTTGTAGTCATTTCCTGTCATGAGGGCTTCGTTACATGTTTCCAAGCGACCCAAGAATTGCTGAATTCTGCAAATCGCCAGAAAAGCATCTGGTAGAACACAAGGGAAAAATCCATTCTTACCTTGTTTTTTCTTCATAGAATCGTAGAATGGTTTGGGTTGGAAGGGACCTTAAAGATCACCTAGTTCCAACCCCCTCCCGCCGTGGGCAGGGGTGCCTTCCACTAGATCAGGTTCGTGTGTATAAACATCTCGGGTATTTGAGAAGCAGCAGAATGCCATTACTTCAAGGTTCAGAATAAATTTTCCTTCTTTTAGTAAGCTTTCAGAGAGCACTTTTAATCAGGATTGTTAGTTTCTTTTGTTAAGCTTGGCACTTCAGAGCTGAGTTGTTTCTAAAGAAAGCACGGCTGCAAGACGCAGGGAAGAGTCAAGAGACATACCAGCGCTGATGTGCAGAACAAGGCTCTCCACGTCTCCCTCACCAGAGTTTACCCTCCGAGCAGTACTCGTAAGCCTGCGTGTCAGATAAAGCTGTCGCATCCCTTACAGGCTATTGGCATAGCTCTTCTTTCCCATTTGTCACCATTAGAAATACATTGAGTTTGTGTGATGGAAATTTTAAGTGATTCATGTACTGCTTGACAGCTGAGGTATAAACGTTTTCACAGCAAAAAATTATCTGTTACTGTGATCTGGGTTATGACTGCAAGCGATAGCTTCTGAGCGTTCTGTAT